CATGGCTTTTTCAGCAAGCGGACCTGGCCTAGGGAGGATTTTATACTGGGTTCATTTTAAGGAATTTGAAATAACACAACTTTAAAATTTGGTTTAATTCGGTTTTACAGGGGGGGATTGTATATATGCCTTTGTTTTAAATATGTTGTGCGCCGCCCTGAGTCCCGCCGGGAGAAGGGCGGCATATAAATTAAATTAATTAAATAAATAAATAAATAAATAAATAATTGCCAAGCTTTTCTTTTAAAATGTGTTCATTTATTTATTTATTAGAATTATGTGTCACCCATCTCATCTAGAGATTGTTTATGCTTGAAAATCCTTTTTCTCCCAAGCTTTCATTTGAGCTATGCTGATAATTGGAAAGATATTTCATATGCTTCTTACTATGTACTCATTGTATTATAAGACTTAATAATTTAGTTTATAAAATGGTACCTAATGGGGTAAGTATGCTTCAAAAATAATTCAGAAGAAGTACTCTAGAAAACATGAGAGCATGAGCATAATATTGCTTTAAACCACAGTGCCTTTTGTCAAACTACTAAACTCGTCACCTGGGCACTTAATGATGCTGGATAACCTAAATTGTATTTTTCAGTAGGACTTGATGTATATGTCAGAGTTCAAATACAGCCTCCATTTACAATATGGATTATTCATTATAAATCACAGGAATGGGATTCCAATAAATAGATGTAGATCCTTTCTTGACATTAAAAATACCATAAAGAAACTTACTTGGTATCTGATCTTCCAGAATGAAAATACATGGTAAATAATGCATAATCAAAAACATCACACATGACATTTCTCTTTCACAGGCATTAGACAACTTCAGCTTGTCCTTTTCAAGATTGCACTGCTGCTGGGAGTTGAAATCCATGTGAATTTAGAATTTGTGAAAGTTTTGGAACCTCCTGAAGATCAAGAAAATCAAAGTAAGTTGTGTTTCTTTGAACAGGGGTATTACACAGAAAATAGGACGCTATTTTTGGTGCAACAGATTACATCTGAGTAGAAGTGTGCAAAATGTTCTATGTGGCTCCTCTGTGTCCAGACTATAATACGTATTTTTGATTTGTATCTGTAATGAAACTTTGTAGTTTGTCCAGGCACAGATGGAAATATGTGTTCTGGGCAGAAATGTTTGTGGAGAAAGCCAAAGTTATTGCTGGTACATGACTGCTAAATAAAGGAAGGTGCTTAAAAAGTCAAGTGAATGAAAGAACTGGTTGGATAGCTCTCTGACTTCAAGCACAGCATACACAAACAGAACACAACAGAATAACAGAGTTGGAAGGGACCTTAGAGGTCTTCTAGTCCAACCCCCTGCTCAGGCAGGAAACCCTATACCATTTCAGATAAATAGTTGTCCAATCTCTTCTTTAAAATCTCCAGTGTTGGAGCACCCATAATTTCTGAAGGCAAGTCATTCCACTGATTAATTGTTTTAACTGTCAGGAAATTTCTCCTTAGCTTTAGGTTGAATTAAGCTTATCTGTCCCCATCTTTCCAAGATTTTTTTCCCCTTTCCCCTTTAACTGCTAATACTAATATCCTTGGCTTCAAAAGCAGCATAAAGGGAGGAAGAGAAGAAAGTTTTGGCTTAAGCTATGAGGAGTAGACGAAGAGAGTAGCTCTTAGTACCTTTCCAAAGTTTGTCTCAACCATATCCCCAAACGATGAAATCCTTCTGGATTTTTGTTGTTGAACTACTGTTCATCCATGTTCAGCAGAACTTCTGAAACCATATGTGTTTGTTTTGGTTTGAAACAAAATTAATTTTCCATGTTATGTGCATCTCAATATGTGACCTGAATAAATTCATATTTATTTTGACTAATGTTCAAATTTTAGAGCAGATGTTGTACCACATGCCTTCTCTCAAACGGAAGGATTATCTCTGAAATTTTTTTCCGAAGAAGTTAAGGATGAGATTGAGCACAGAAGCTAATTAAATTCTCAAGAATCCTTATTTTAAAGAGAGTTTGGTAACAGCAACTGATTAAATGGTGGTTAATCCCAATTTTTTTAGATTGTTTTAACTGTAAGAGAATTTGCAATAAATATATACTTTTCCCCACAAATTATAAAGACAACATTTCTTCCATAAAACACACTTCATCTGTATTTTCTATAATGTATATTTTTAATAAATTGAATCTTTAAAAAATTAACTTAGAAGAAAGTAGGGAAGTTTTTCCAAACTTTTCTTAACATGATTTGCATTGTACATGTTATTGACATATGTTTGCTGGTTAATCTCTTGATTTCAGAAATAGGTTGGAAAGCTGAATTTCTCCCAATGGATCATCCCTTATCAGAATTTGAATTTGATGTCATAATTGGAGCTGATGGCCGAAGAAATAGTTTGGAAGGTATGTTATATATAGTATCAAAATTCAGTTGAACAAATATCTAAAATGGAAATAAAGAGCCTGCTCATTTCTTTCTTTATGATGAACAATAAAGTAGATCAGACTTTTAAAAATTATTACACTTTTATCTTTTAAAAATATAGGTGGCTATATTATTAGCAAAGGAAAGAGACATGCACTTTTAAACTGCAAACTAATGCAGAGCTCTCCAAAGTTCCAGCAAAGGCAAGCTGTGCTATTTGGATCACAATTCTGCAGGGGTTGAAAATGAATATACACAATATTGCTTATATTTAATGAAAAATTACTTTAGGAAGCAATAATTTGACTTAAAAGATCATCATTGTGGATTTGACAGAGAATAACAAAGTGGAAGGAAAGAAAGATCCTATTGAATTTGCTGCAAAAAATGTTAAATATTTTAAACTTAATTTAATAATAATGATTTAATAATAATAAGTATCACAACTTTTAAGTCGGCTTTTGTCAGTGAGACATTAGTTAAATAGCCCATGCTATGTCATATGACTGAACATTTTATGCAAATTCCTATTGGGACTTAATTAGATGCACATTTAATTCTTTGGAACTACTGGACTTTATCTTAGAACTTTGGAACTTAATATCACTACAGAGAATTGTACCTACCTAATTCTAAGAGAAAAAAACAATACATCTAATGGACATGATGAATTCTGAGGTTGGAAAGTACCAGAGGAATGTGGTAGAATAGTCACAACAGGTAACACCAAGAAAGTTTTTAGCAAAACAAGTAAACTCTTTAGGAGATTTGTAAATAAATGTTTGCACTGGATATGAAAAATATAGAACTGTCTAGTTAAAAAATGAAGAGGGTCAGTTTTAAGAATCTAATGTAGGAAATTATATAGTTAGAGAATGTATGGTTCAATTAAAAGAGAAATGCCAGGAGAAAGAAACAAATATTTGAGAGTTTTCATGCTCCAAATTAATTTACAAACTCTCCACCTGAGTTCTTGGGTAAATGCCAAAATTTCTCATGGAAAAAAAGTATTAATCAACTGATATGCATTCTCTTGTTGCTTTTCCTTGTAAGGTTTTAAAAGGAAGGAATTTCGTGGAAAGCTAGCTATCGCCATTACTGCCAATTTTATAAACAGAAATACCACTGCAGAAGCCAAAGTGGAGGAGATTAGTGGTGTTGCTTTCATTTTCAATCAAAAATTCTTCCAAGATTTGAAAGAAGAAACAGGTGGGTATTCTTTTAAATGTGGCAGAATCCAGCAAGCTGGAAACCAAATTGGTGTAAGTGTATTAAATTGGCGATGGAAGTTTAATTCATTTTCTTTGAGATTTTGTTGTTCATTGATTTACACAAAAATCTATAATATACAGATCCAGTCATCATGCTAAATCAAAAGCAATTTACCCACATTATATTTGTGCAGTAATGTGCATTTTTTTCTAGGTTGTGGGTCACCTCTTTCCTTTGGATGTAGGAATATGGAGGATTAAGAACAAACTGATTTAATTTCACTTGTAGTTTTAATTAAATTTAAATTGGAATTGAGTATGAATGCTTTTTAGTTAGGAATTTAATATCATTCCCTTTTTCTTACAATAAAAACTACGATTTGGCAACAATTTCTGTAGGCTTATGTAAACTGCATATCAAGGCCATAGATTATGGATCTCCAATCATAGCATTAGGTATGAAATAAATCATAGTTATTTTCAAGGTGCTACTCATTGCAATAAAACTAGCAAAATGTTTTATGATTTTTTACAATAGAATGTTCTCAGTCTTTATTTTTTCCTATTATGTTCTGTTCGAAAAAATTCACAACACTTTGCATACATACAAGAGAAATCTGATTCCGAGAAACAGGCTGTTTGTTGATAAATTTAATGTGATATAATTTTTAACTAGGATAGGATTTTAGACTATGTATGAACATGCATGGTTTAATGTGTTCTTCTCTAAATTATTATGCGATCCTGTTGTTTTTACTGTTATCGTCATGTTAGAATTTAATTAAATGTATAGTTGAGAATGTTACAGTATGAATGAACTTAAATTCAAAATTTAGGAGGTAGAAAATAGTTTTTTTCCAAATTTGTTGAATATTAAAGTGGAAAAAAAATAAGAAATGTATACACTGTTTTAGTGTATGAGTTTTCATCCAAAAACGTGTTTTATTCTTCTGTAGGAATTGACCTAGAAAATATTGTTTACTATAAAGATAGCACGCATTACTTTGTGATGACTGCAAAGAAACAGAGTCTTTTGGATAAGGGTGTCATCATTAATGTAGGTATCCAGTGTTTATTTTTTTCTCTATATAATAGTACACATTCTGATCTCTGAGCCTGAACAGAAACTTGAAACTTAGATTCGCTTTTTTTTTAATCACTACTGTCCAGATTATTTGGGACAGATTATTTCCAGAATTCCCAGCCAAATGGCCATTGTATTCCCAAAGTACTGGAGGGAAATTCTAGGGGTTGCAGTCCCAACACATCTGAAGAACTACAACTTGACAAAAGCTGAACTGGATTTTCAAATTGAAATATAACGCGGTACGCTCCCACAGAGTGGGCCTCCTCAGGGTGCCGTCAGCCAGACAGTGCCGGCTGGCGACCTCCAGGGGGAGGGCCTTCTCAGTGGGAGCCCCCACCCTCTGGAACGAACTACCCCCAGAGATCCAGGTGATCCCAGATCTCCCCTCCTTCCGCCGCGCCCTAAAGACATGGCTCTTCCAACAAGCAGGATTGGCCTAGGGAATTTTAGTGGGGTTTTTTAATGAGAAATTTTAATTATATAGGCCATAACAAATATTTCTTTTTAATTCGGTTTTAAATTAGGTATTTATTGTAGTATTGGTTTTATAAGGCTGTTAGCCGCCCTGAGTCCGGTAAGGAGAAGGGCGGGATATAAATTGAATTAATAAATAAATAAATAAATAAATTGCATTTAAGTGTTCAAGAACACTTCAGTGAAATTGAGCGTTCAAGGGAGGTGGAGAGAGAACATGCAGGTAGAGGACTCATCGTAGCACTAATAAACCAGGGCATGTCCTGGATTAAAAAAAAAATCAAATGCATAGGTATAGAATAGACAATAGTTATTTAAATAGGAGCCAGCTGTGTGCTGCAGCTGCCAAAAAAGCCAAGGCAGTGCTAGACTGCACCAACCGAGGGATAACATCAAGATCATGAGAAGTGATAGTACCACTTTATACTGAACTAGTGAAGCCACGCTTGGAATATTATGTTCAGTTCTGGTTGCCACAATACAAAAAAGGCCCTAGAAAGAGTGCAGAGAAGAACAATAAAGATGATAAGGTGTCTGGAGCCTAACCATATGATGAATGGTTAAGGGGACTACATATGTCTAGCCCATTGAAGAGAAGGTTTAGGGGCGACATGATATGTATCTTCCAATATTTATGGGTTTGTCACAGAGAAGAGGAGATCAACCTATTTTCCAAAATAACTGAGCTCAGGACAAGCAGTAACAGGTGGAAGATCATTAAAGAGAGGTGCATGGTCTCTTCCAATCCTTTTTATTTTATGTTCCACATACTGTCTGAATTCATAATTTTTTAAAAGAAATCTGTTTTTTTTTAAAAAAAATCATCTTTTTAGTTAGGTACATATATATTTGATTTAGATGCAGTCAATAGTCTAGAGCAGGGATCCCCAACTCCTGGGCGGTGGCCCAGTACCGGGCTGTGGCCTGTTCGGAACTGGGTTGTGCAAGCGATGGGTGAATGCGTGGATGTGCAAAGCTCCATTTGTCTGAGCTGCAAATTGAACTGCACATGCATGTGTACACTTGCCCACCCCTTGTGCAGAACCATCCCCTCTCCTTCCCCTCCTCCAGTCCACAAAGCCAGAAGGGTTGGAGACCATTGATCTAGAGCAAATTAAATCTATATAAATAAAAATGTAAATGTTTGTTTGTTCAAAATCTTAAATCTCCGAAAGTTCTTCACCGATTGCTTTGAAATTTTGACACAATGTTGCATTTGAATACGCGCGTGTTTCTATATACCTATATTATATAGATGTCACACCTGTGATAGGTAAAAACATGCTTTTTTGAAAAAACAGCACCATCTGTTGGACATAAAAGCAACACACGCTTTTACCAGACTGAGCTACAGCAACGCGTGGCTGGGTACAGCTAGTTGCTGGAATATAGTGTGCATGTAACTTCACCCTTTATTGTTATATATAATTATTTGTTTTAACTCGCATCCATTGGACTGACCAAGAATTCTAACAATAGACATCTGTGGTTTCATTTAGGATTTTATTGATACTGAAATGCTGCTGTGCATGGAAAATGTAGACCAAAACAATCTATTGTCGTATGCAAGAGAAGCTGCCGACTTTGCGACTGATTATCAACTGCCTGCCTTAGATTTTGCAATTAATCACTATGGGCAACCAGATGTGGCCATGTTTGATTTTACTTCTATGTATGCCTCGGAAAATGCTGCATTAGTACGTGAGAGGCATCGACATCAACTGTTGGTTGCTCTTGTTGGAGACAGTTTGGTAGAGGTAGGATGAAATACGCATTTGTTCAAGATAGCTTTCAAAAGTAACAATAATTTGTAACAATAATTTTGTGAACCATCATCTAGTAAATATTATGAATGCTTTAATACTATTCTCTAACTTAAACGGTAGGAACTTCAGGAGCATTCACAATCCGTACCAAGAGATTTTTTTTTTATTACTATTACTATTGTCCGATATTCCAGCTCTTAACTATTGTTTGTTTTTCCTCCACTTTCTCCTCTTTTGTGTAAATTGCTTACCTTCCTGTATTCTCTGCTTTCTCCCTGTAATATTGTGACTGGATGGGATCTAGATCTGGTCACTGACTGTAATAAAGAGTTTGAATTTTTTCAATGTGAACTATATTAGATGTTACCTAAAACAAAGATATGTTTCACAGCCGTTCTGGCCAATGGGTACCGGTTGTGCAAGAGGATTCCTAGCTGCATTTGACACAGCGTGGATGGTGAAAAGCTGGGCACAAGGAAAGCCCCCTCTTGATATCCTAGCAGAAAGGTAAATCTATATGTGTTTGTCTTTATATACTAGAGAAGTAAGTAAATTCCATTTTTCACAGAGGGATGAAGGATCCGTGGCCAACTAGATATCAAGCATTCCTTACTATTGACCTTGGGCACTTGGTTGCTACAGTGTATTTCAGTAGCATCTAGGTGACCTAGTTCTACCATATTTGATAATGCTTCTATTATCTTATTCTTGTTTTTATTTTGTTATCAATTTGTTTCTCATTTGCTTCACTGCAATCTTTGCCCAATTACAAGGAGGAGAGGAGAGTTGTTGAGAGGGTTTTTTTTAAGGATGTTATGTATGGTAATGATGAAGTCAAGTGTCTGTATTTGGAAATAGGTCATATAAGGGCTGAGAAAGCATGTTTGTGGAAAGCAAAAGACAGCACAGGCTGGAAACAGAAACCTGACTGACTAATAATGGCTGTGAAATCTATACCTACTGCTGTTTTGTGGCTAAAGGAGGAGTTGTTTCTTGTGCGAAAGGAAAATTAAAGCCAGATGATTTAGGATGATGTAATCTTACTTCTTCGGAGCTATTTTTCTGTTTTAGGAAGACCTGTTTTCTGTCTGAGTTGTTCTCATCATCAGCATTTTTCATACTGTGGCAAATCTAAATTCATTGTCCGATTAGAGGTGGGTGCACATTAGGTAGGGACGAAAACTGCATGCCTCTTAAAAACAAACAGGCATATTTCTATTGCTGTCTTTCAGGGAAAGTATTTATAGACTCTTACCTCAGACAACACCTGAAAATATCACTAAGAATTTTGACCAATACACTATTGACCCTGCCACACGATATCCAAATTTGAACTCAAGTTGTGTTCGGCCACATCAGGTAAGCCAAGATATAAACAACAAAACTCTTTATATTCATAGCAGTACTAGGAAGGGTGGATATTTTTTAGAACATTTCTGTTCAACTTTGACTGCCATGAACATAGTGGTTGCATAGTTGACCTGTAAAATGTGAAAACAAACTCAGATGATTATGAAGAAAATGCAGACCTGCCTGTTTTTCATGCATGTCTTGATAGATTTATTTCCCCTAGATGCTTATTTGCAAGCTACCACAATGGTGTTTTATTGAGTTTTAATATTGGTAAATACTTGGAATCTTGGAATAGAATAGCATATAAATATAATAATTAACATATAAACTGGGGTTAGATGGAGATTGCATATCCATTGTCAGTTTAGATAATTGAATGATAAATCAGATTTGAGCAGTGACGCTTCTGAATTCAACTGATGATTATCTTCCCTTAGGTGAAACATTTATATATTACAAATGAACTGCAGCCATGCCTATTAGAAAGAACAAATACCATTAGAAGATCAATTGGCCTTTCAAAACATGGTATGAGAACTTTCATTAGTATTCTTTTTTACACCATATACGAGAAGAGTTTGAAAGTTGTAAAGATTGTACTGTTTTTTTGAAAAAAAAATTATTCTTTCAGAATATGACATAAGGCCCAACAAACTTTTAACCTGGTGTCAGAAACAGACGGAAGGATACAAGAATGTGAACGTCACAGATCTCACTAGTTCGTGGAAAAGTGGCCTTGCCTTATGTGCAATTATGCATCATTTCAGACCTGACCTCATGTAAGTTTTTATATATGTATGTAATGCTTGCTAATTGCCAAGTTCCTTTTAAAATAGAGACTAGAATCAGGCCAATCAAAACAGTAAATAAAGATTGTTTCTCTTTTTAACATCTATTTTGCCACTCTCTGCATCTTTTTGTTCAGACTCTGCCCCTTAGTGTCTTTGGCTCCATTCTAAAAAAATATCAGGTTTGCAGATTCAAAGAACTCCTTGAGTTTCAATCATACTGCTTTTGCTTGTGTTAGCAGAAGTTGATGTCTTTTATGCTTGTATTTCTTCCTGAATTCATAGCATTTGTTATTTTACAGTGTTTTCTTTTAAATACTCTGTGCTGAGTAATATTCACATGCAAATGTGGGGAGAGGTTATTCAAAATTGAGGTGTGCCATTTGTATTGTCATAACAGTCTGGAAAAAAAATACAAAAATAGTCCAAGACAAAAGAGCAATGATAGCAAAGAAAACAAACCTTGAAGGCAACCAAAAGGAAGAAAGGGGCATCAATTGTCCTTACCAAAACCCAGGCAAAGAACCAGGTCCTTAGGGCTCTTTGAAATGCCAGTTGTGTGTGTGTGTGTGTTTGTGTCTATCTTAATGCATCTGTGTAAGGATATTATGTCAATTATTTGGAGAATACATTTTATTTTTTATCCATATGCCAGTTCCCCAAGAATTCTGGAGATGATGATGATTATATTTTTATCCTGCCTTTAATATATTTTGGTCAGCTCAAGGCAGTTAACATACCTAATGTTCCCACCTCTTGTTTTCTCCACAAAAATAGCCCTGTGAAGTGGGTTGGGCTGAGTGTCTGGACCAAAGTCATTCAGCCAGTTTTTCATGCCTAAGAGAGACCTAGAACTCACAGTCTCCTGGTTTCTAGGTCAGAACTTTAACCACCACACCAAATTGGCTCATACTAGAACTAGAGAGGAGCAAAAAAGATGATTAGGAGACTGGAGGCTAAAGCATATAAGGAAAGGTTGCTGGAATTGGGTATGTCTAGTTTAACGAAGAGAAGGACGAGGAGGGACATGATAGCAGTATTCCAATATCTCAGGGGCTGCCACAAAGAAGAGGGTGTCAAGCTATTTTCCAAAGTGCCTGAAGGCAGAACAAGAAGCAACGGGTGGAAACTAACCAAAGAGAGAAGCAATCTAGAACTAAGGAGAAACTTCCTGACAGTTAGAACAATTAATCAGTGGAACAACCTGCCTCCAGAAGCGGTGAATGCTCCAACACTGGAAGTTTTCAAGAAGAGACTGGACAGCCATTTGTCCGAAACGGTATAGGGTTACCTGCCTGAGCAGGGGGTTGGACCTGATGACCTCCAAGGTCCCTTCCAAATTTTATTATTATTATTATTATTATTATTATTATTATTATTATTGTTATTGTTATTGTTATTGTTATTGTTATTGTTATTGTTATTGTTATTGTTATTGTTGTTATTGTTGTTATTGTTATTATTATTATTATTATTATTATTATTATTATTATTACTACTACTACTACTACTACTACTATTTTAGCAATTACTTCATACTTATTTAGCAAACATCATTCTCTAGAATAATGACATTATTATGCCAACAGATACTAAGTTTCTTCCTAATACCTAATGTCTTCCATATCTATGTACTTAACGTCCCATAATTTCTAGTTGCAGCCTCTAGGAAGTATTCAAATAACAGTTCAGTACATCTATAAGATGCAAGATTGGAGACAATTGATTTTGAACATTTACATATTCTGGTTTGGTATATATATTATTCTATTATTTATTCAGGATTTGTTTCATTGGTTGGTTGGTTGTCAGAGTTCTAAGGGATAATTATAGACTATTGTTTTGTACATATAACCTGGACTGAAATGATGTAAGGAGATGGTGGTATTCCACTCTGGCAAAAACATAATGTGGAAGAGAGTAAATAGGTATGAATACTTACTAAATTGATTTTTCATCAAGGATACCAAAATGGATTTTTTCCCCCCACGTTTTAGAAAAACGTTGAAAACAAAAATATTTAGTACAGGGAGAAACATTTTGTAAAGTACTGTAAGAGATGAGCAACAAGAAAATAAGTCCAGTTGCCATGACTTAGTTTTTAGACTGAGATATTTCTGTACTTATATGACTTTTCTTCCTAATTCTTAAGTGACTTTGATTCCCTGAATGAAGAAGACGCAGTCGAAAACAACCAGCTGGCATTTGATATTGCTGAACGTGAATTTGGAATTCCTCCTGTCATAACTGGGAAAGAAATGGTGTCTGCTGGGGAGCCTGATAAACTCAGTATGGTCATGTATCTCTCAAAATTCTATGAGCTATTTAGGGGGACACCTCTCAGAGCAGTGGGTAAGTTAGCTCTGTTGCTTTTACTCTAGGCAGAAAACAAGCTTTTGTTACTTTACATTCAGGTTTGGCCTTAAACCTGACCCCAAGGTTTCTTGCAATTGTAACTGCTTTGGAATATCTAATTATATTTAGCTATGTTAACCAGGTTTTATAACAAAATAGGGTGAATGGACAGTTTTATTCTTGAATGGTTTTGGAAAGCCAGAAGACACTGTTGCCATTACTTATTTTGGTTAATTGATTACATAAGTTTCATGAAAGTTGGTGATTCTACACTTGGTTTTCATATTTGTGTCAGTTTTATTACATTTTTTTAATTGAGAACCTTGTCTGCTAGATATATTATTTTCCAAGTGCTATGATATGGATCAGTAATATTTAGAAATCTACATAACCCATTATACTTTTGCACCTTTCACATAGGCAAAATGGCAATGTGGAAAAGAGGACAACTCTTGGCTCTGTTTTGCATTAAAATTTGCACAATAGAAGAGCTTTTAGGCATGCACTAGTATCTTTTATTTAAAGTAATCATTACAACCTGCTGATTGCAGCTAATTTACTCAGATATTCATCTTGCTTAGACTCAGCTCTGCTCAATGTGTTGTGATTTTTCTGTCAGCATTTGGCAGTGTTTGAGTGATTGAAGCCTTTAAATCCACCTCCCAATTTTCTAGTCAGTCACAGAAAGACATCTGATGATACTGTGACTTCATTGGAAGGGACAAGGACAAATTTTATGTCCCTTTCATGTGGTGGTTACGGATAGAAATAGAAGTGGTAGACCTCTGACAGGCAAATCCCTTCCATCCCCACCAATAAAACTTCTTAAAATCCAAGCAATGGCCTGATATCCATTTCTCAGGCACATCTTGGGTCTTTCTTCCAGATTTGTAGGAAGGACAGTTATAGAGGTTATTATAAAAATGTTCAACGTTTTAGATCTTCAAGTTTTTTGGGTTGTTATGGTGGGGAATAAAAATGGAACCAGAGACAGGAGACAAACCACTTCTACTCAGAATTTTTAATGTTTTTTTTAAGTGCTGCTGAAATTCAGCAGTTTTGCTATTAATTTTGGCATTAAAGTTTAGGGTGTTGAGTGGGAACTGAATGTCTATTCATCTCTATTCTAACTTCAGAAGACAGGATTGTACTATTTAGTTTGAAGAATAATGTTGCTTTTTCAGTGTTTCACTTTTTTTTTTTATAAGGAAAAACTTTCTGAAGTTAACAATGAGTTATAAAGGCAGTTTTGTAGGGAAAAATACTTGAAAGTATAAATAACTTGCTTTACATGATTTCCAAATTAATACATGATGCCTTAATTTACTTTATTTCTTTATGTTTGAACAGGTACTGTGACAAAGCAAAATGGAGAAAGAATTGATCCTTGTTCAGCAAAATCATCCAATTTTGTCCGTAATAATCACATAAACTTGACATTTCCAAGGAAGAGAATACCAAAAGTAAAATTATATATCTTTTTTCTTCTTCCTCCTCCTTCAGATAAAGGAATAAATGCATGCATAGTACAAAATAAACAGCATGCTTATAAACTTACAAATACTGTGTAACTCATGATGGTTAAAAATAGGATCATACTCAATTATCTACATGTTATTTAGATTCACACTGTGATCAGAGGATGGCTTTCCCTATCATGCAAAATTTGTACATTTCCCTGGTCTATTTGGTTGCCATTTGAGGTCAACATGAAATTGACCTTTGATTTCCTGAGGCTAAATTATTTCAATAGGACTATTGAAAAATGTTCTCCAGTAAATCTGCTCTTCCATTTACAGATGTCAAATTGACCTAATATTAAAGGAAACTACTTTACAGTTTTCAAAAGAGAATTTACTTATCAGTGACAAGTATTCTCTGTTGATTTCTGAAAGAGATCACTATGTTTTTTTCCCCTCTGTTGATCCTTCATTGGAACAGCTATGGTATGACTGCATAGTAGCAGGAAAATAAAAGAGAGAAGTGTGTGAGTTTGCAGGTATCATTAATAATGAAAGAAAGAGTGTTACTTCCCACTACTAATTTTATATTTAGTGCAAGACATACTCAGCTGAAGAACAGGAAGAAAGTTTCGTTTTATAGAGATACAACTTCAGAACATTAACCTGTATTAAAAATTAAATAAAAAATTGAATTAAATTTAAATAAAATTTAGAAAAGTAAATTAAATTTCATCCTATGTATGAAAATTAAATAAGTGTGATCTTTGAGATGAAGCATCCTATCATATCTCTTTATGTATCAGAAAAAGATACAGCTTTACATAATACTACTTGTGTTCAAATATGAGCTTAAACTTTCCAGTATTTTTATAATGAAATTGCTGTATATTAGATAATTCGTCTATCAACTTCCATTATATGACACTGTTTGATAGAGTGTATGTTGGTTAAAATTGCCATCTGACTTTACTTAGTTACTCTTGTGATGAGTAGAACTTACACCACCATAAACTAGCTGGCATTGATTTGAATAGTCAGCTAACAATGGCTACACTCTAGTACAGGGGTGTCAAACTGCTGGCCCACGGACCAGACGCGTCATCGGAAAACCATGCCCACCCCATTGCCGGCAATGGCGAAAAAGCTCCGATACATTGCGCGATGTCACGTGACGTCGCGAGTTTGACATGTCTGCTCTAGTATGTGAGGTTTCACACATGCAATGTAACTCCCCCTTCTCTCTCCCCTACATTTTCTCCCTACATCTACTTACGTGTCCCTAGAAGGCCTCCAGAGAATTCAGCATGCATGTATCATTTTACAGAGATTGTTTGATTACATAAGAGAATAAACAAAAATATTTGGTCAAACAGCTTCGGTAACTAGCAACTAAAAACAATGAGTGCATTTTGTGCTTTTAAAGCTGTATCAGCTGAAAGGCCAATGAATAAAGTTTAAGAGAGCCTCCCAAGTACAAAATGTAAGACTCTCCTTAGGCCAACCAGTCTATAAATAATACCATCAAATCATGTGAATATTAAGCTATTTACCAGTAGTCATATGCCCTTTTTAGGAAACAGCCTTTCTTTATTCAGCCATGCAAACAGAACTGGTGTTTTTATTCAATTGAAACCCAACTATCCAATTTAGCAGAAGTAGGAGAAAAATGCTCACCCTTTTAAACAAGTTTGCAGTAGATTCCTCTGCTGAAATATTGATATGGTGTATTTCACGATGTAGCTTACTGTAACTTTTCCAGTCTTGCACGTCAACATAAATTAGATATCTTAATTTTTTTCTGTTTTTTTTTTTATTCTATACCGGCTTTCCTGCCCTCAACCACACAAACAACAGTGAATATGAAAATTAAAAAAAAACATGCTCAGAAGCTTAATTTTAAAAGATCTATGAATTAAATCTACAAATCTGTAATCAGGACTGTGCTTCTAGTTCTGTCCCATCGATGGTTCTTTTACTTACTTCCCTGCTTCACTGGGAATGAAGATCACACAAATAGCTTGGCAGGGAGAGAATAAAAACAATTTCCCCATTCTGGTTTCTATTAGTAGTAGGAATTTCTATTATAGCCTCTTCCAAGAGCAGAAGGATAATTCTGGTTCATGTGACCCTTAGTGATGATTTTTATCTAGACAGACAATAGTCTGATTTAAAAAAAAAAAAAAAACCTTGAAAACGTTTAGGACCATTTTTAGAACTATACATCTGTCGGTGTTTTGGAAAGGAGAGCTAAGAGTGATTTTGTCCATCATTTAGAACATTACACATAGCTATAAAATAGTTCCAAAAGAAATATACTTATGTGAAATAATGTGGCTTGCAAACTTAGCTAGAGTGTTGAATTTTATCAGCAATGCCACTCACATTAGCATGAAATATTATTGAACTGACATAATGTTGAAATATTCATAGGATACTTTCTACCTACAGAAAGCTATATAAATTAATTCATATCACCGATAACTTCTGTCTTCCTTACGTAAATAACAATTGGTGATTTATCCAGGACCTAAATTGGGCAGCAGTATACACAATCTCCCGAGTGGTGTCATCAAAAAATGTGTAATGCTGGGATTTTTAGGCCCAAAATAATGCACACAGACCTTGGATTAGGGGAACCATATTATCTCCCGATGGATTTCTGAGCTACTGTGACATTGGAATTGTGTGATTCCTGAGTTATTGTGAGATGTCAGATAAATACAATAAATGATTTTATATGTTTAATCCACAATCCAAATTCATTGTGTGTATGTATGTATGTATGTGTGTGTGTATTACTTTTACACCAAAAGTAGAATATAGATAAGGATAATAAAAAAAACTTCATCTTTTGCTTTCCTTAAGTCCTTGAAATCTATCAGTTCAGGTAATTGTTCTCTTCTCATGTTTTTTTTTTGGTGTTTTAGCTGGTTAATGAGAAAAGTGCTCCTGAAATAATACAAAGAAGAATGGCAGAAGACAAAGTGGCTTTCATTTCCATCAGATATATGTGGTTTTCACATAAAAATCAGATTGTACAAATTCCACAGCTTATGAATAGAATGGAGGAGACTGAACAAACATATTCTAGTTTGGACTATAGATAACAAAATTTGCTGAGAATAGGTTGGTGTTTGTAGAAAGAGAAACATTAATATCAACTGGCTTTATAATATATTAAAAGTGCCCTAAAATTAGTCCCCCAGTCAATTCTTCATAGAAAGATGCATAATGAAACCTTGAATTGTACCTAGTACATAATTTAATTATACTCTTTGCCCTTCCTCCTTTTATAACTAATTTGATTTTTTAATGTACAGCATGTTCATTTTAACCAGTGTCCTTTTATTAAATAGATAATTTTTGATACATTTACAGTTGTGAATGTTTTCTAACTTGATTTCATTAATTTTAGGCGGAAGAAAATGAAACCAGTAAAAGGCGACGCAAAAGTCTCATCAGTTTTGAGGAGGTTAGTAATAAATTTAATTATTAAATATGCTTTTATTGTATAATAAAGTTTGTTCTCCACTAGAAAAAAGTAGATATTGGGGAGTTCACATTCAGCTTTTTAACTGATTAAAATTAATCCTAACAAGTCAGATGATAGGTAGCATTATTTTATTTATTTATTAAAAGGGTTAAACTGCCCCATAGTTGAAGCTATTAACAACTCCCATTTTGTCATCAGTTCAATGTCCACAAAAAGAAAAATAACATTGTTTTGGAACCTGCTTTGAACAAGCAAGACTTCACTTTAGCCTGTTTCAAGTAATACTAGATTCCTCAAATCTGTATGGCTACTGCCATTGACAATGGAAGCCCAACTTCTCTGAAGACTTGTAGTGTGACAAGTGTCAAATATCAAGGATAGAATTGACTTACTTGTTTTATCTTAAGGGCATTTCTATGGCTTTAGATACCGTCAACCTGGATCATTTGAGAGATTTGGGAATAGGTGGCCTGGCTTTGTAATAGTCCCATTCCCATCTCTCAGGTAGGTGGCAAATGATGTTGCTTGGACACAGATCCTTAAAACAGGAGGTATAAGAAACTCTACAGATTTAATCTGTTCCCAGTAATATTTGATATCATCTTGAAACACTGGAGATATGCTGCTGGATTTATCTGGATTTATTTCTCTATAAATTTTTCAAGAAATTGTATGACTCCACTGAGTGGCCTGCAGTCTGTAGTGAGATAGATAAGGGATAATTCATTGCAAGTGAAGCAGAAGGTGCTCATTTGAAAGGCAATAATTCCAAAGAAGCATAGAAATGTATATTTTAAACAGGATTGCACTCTCCTTGAAGGGTACATAGCTAGTTTGGAGTATTTCTGGACTTGGATTTATCTCTTGTTTCTGAGACCTGATTGAAGAAATGGCCAGGAGCATATTTTATCAATTTTAGTATTTGTACCCATTGGAAGACAATGATTTTAATACTATGATACATATCCTAGTAACTTCAAGGCTCTATACAGGTCTACCTTTGTGTCTATGAATATTTTATTTGGAGCAAAACAAGACAGTGAAGTTGGTCTCAGAAGGACCATGAGCACTCCATATTAAATCTATACTCAAAGTATAGTAGTCGCTGCCGATTAATTTGTGCACAAAATACAGTTAAAGTACTACTTAAAGCCTTACACAGTTCAGGTCCAGACTATTTGAAAGAAGACCAGTTTCTATATGAATCTTTATGATTACTAAGATATGGAACGCTTTTCAAGTTCACAAATGTAATGAAGAAAGAACAATTTGGTCTAGTAGTTAAGGTACTACTACAGAGCGGTTGTTGTGGGGACAATAAGAGGAAGGAAGAGTAAGTATGTTTATACCTTGAATTATTTATAAAAAATGTAGATTTTTGATGTAAATTAAAAAGAAATTTACATCACAAAATTTACATAAAGGTTGTGGAATAAATACATATACTTATTTCCTTCATTTGCTTGCTTATAGTCTTCAAACCATCTAAATCAAGAAAGAAATTTTAGTAATCAAGCAAGGGATTTGAAAGAAACAATAAATCGAAACAGAGTGAAATCGATGGCAACGCAGCTCTTAGCCAAGTTTGAAGAAAATGCGCCCAGTGTTTCATTAAGGAGACAGGTGAGTGAACGAGCAAATAAATAAATACAGATGAGAAGAAGGCAGAGCAACTGCAGGACAAAGCCCAGACCTTCTTGGTTAGTTGAGAAATGGGGATAAGAATATACTGGCAGTGTTACCCAAAAACAGAGATGAGGTGGAGATGCTGAATTCTTCTGGCCTCTATGTGCTACAAAATGTGGAACGTGCAGTAAGGTGGATTACATGCAGTTGAGTACATGTAGTAAGATGGAGTGAACATCTGAGGCATCAGTGTTGTAAGATGAGGAATTCCTTCATAGTGCCACGCAATTAATAAAATCTGGACTCCTAGTACCCTTTTTATAGCACTTAAGCCTACACCAGAAGTTCCATGTTTGATTGTACAAAGCTCCCATGATGCTATTGCCCACATATTCTGGATCTGCTCCTTGTGACCTTGGCTTGTTTTTGGATTTTCTGTGTACATCTTATGCTTGATAGATTAAATGAATCTACTGGCCTAGTTAGTTTAATCAGCTTTGATTTGACCAGTACTAGACTCTCCTTTGGCTTTGTTACTGCTCCCAGTACAAATAGTAACATTGGAGCCAAATCTTTCTGAGGGATAACCAGCTATTTTGAGCAATTGGCACATAGGCCCACTGAATATATATGCATGACATTACTATTTAAGTTTTGAATATAAGGACAAAGATCCTAAAACTTTATTCTGCTTCCAAACAGCATTTCAGGGAATACTGATATTGATCAACTCTCAAAAAGCATGATTCTGGGTAATCCAGTTCAGTATTAGCTTCAGAATCTTCACATATATAGGAAATACAAATTTCTAGAAAGATATGCAGATAATATAAATATTGGTGGCATTATAAAAGGAAGCATCTCAGAGTTCTTCCTGTCTTTGTACTTTTTGTATAATGGTGAAAGTGCAACATAGATATTTGCTCCTATTCTGAGATAAACAAGATCCCTTTCAGACACTAGATAGTGTGACATAATTTTATGATGCTTTCCTTCCCTGTTACTGAAAATTTTTGAAATAATATGATGACATGGGATCAGGCTGTCTTAGCATGTAACATAATTTAATAGAACAATATAAAAATGTTATAGTCCTGTGCTTCTTAAAATAGTTAGCAATACTTTGGTTAAGATTACAAAATGGTAAAAATTCTGTTACACATTTTTATTGCTACTTAAATAAATTGATTTTCTAGGAACATTATACTCCATACCAGTTGCTGCTTAAGTATGTGGAGATATTTCTAGTATAAGATTACACGTAGAAAACAAGACAAAATTCTGAATCAGCTTGGGCTTTTTGGTCAGAATCTTAAATGTCCAGCATAAAAACTTGTTTGAAACATCCTACATAAATTCAGTGTATACAATTATGTAAAATAGTGCAGAGAAGAACAATAAAGATGATTGAGGGACCAGAAGATAAAACATATGAAGAACAGTTATAGGAGTTGGGGATGTCTAGTCTAATGAAAAGAACTGGGGTGACATGATAGAAGTCTTCCAATATTTGAGGGGTTGTCACAGGAAAGAGGGGGACAACCTATTTTCCAAAGCACCTGTGGTCAAGACAAGAAGCAATAGATAGCAACTAATCAAAGAAGACATCCAACATAGAAATAAGGAGAAATTTTCTGACAATTAGGACAATCAATCAGTGGAACAGCTTGCCTTCAGAAGATGTGGGTGCTCCATCACCGGAGACTTTTAAGACGAGATTGGACAACCACTTGTCTGAAATGGTATAGGGTCTCCTGCTTGAGCAGAGGATTGGACTAGAAGATCTCCAAGGTCCCTTCCAACTCTGTTATTCTGTATTTTAATTTTATTCCTATTGCTATTGAACTTGAAATGAATAATATTCAGAAAAGAAGAGTATTTTTAACTCCTACATATCACCACCTAATTGACAGAGGATGTTCTCAACTGAACCACATGTAAAAGGTGTGAATATGTAATGTCACATTTTCCTATTGCAATGAAGATTGTGAATAAATTGTTTACATTTCTGTCTTTTCTACCTCCAATGCTATTCTCGATCATTGCTCAAAGTTAATTTACAACTGGCTGATTTAAGCCAGTCACTCACTCTTAGGCCTAGGAAGAAGCAAGCAAACTACTCTTACATATCACCACCTAATTGACAGAGGATGTTCTCAATTGAAGCACACGTAAAAGGTGTGAATATGTAATGTCACATTTTCCTATTTCAATGAAGATTGTGAATAAATTGTTTACATTTCTGTCTTCTCCACCTCCAATGCTACTCTCTATAATTGCTCAAAGCTAATTTACAACTGGCTGATTTAAGCTAGTCACTCACTCTTAGGCCTAGGAAGAAGCAAGCAAACTACTTCTAAAATCTTACCAAGAAAACTGCAAACTGTCTCCAGACAGTTGCTAGGAGTCAACACTGACTCAATGTCACCAAAAATAAATAAATAAATATAAATTTTAAAGTTACGATTAAGTTAGGTACTGGTAGAAAGTGATGACCAAATCAAAATAACTGAGATCATTATTTTTTTATTTAAGACTTCCTTTTTCTTCAAACTATGTTTTATGTTTCCACACCAGTTGAAAAGATCACATATATTGTTGATAATTAACATGTTTGCCTGGTTATTTTACCATGCACAGCAGTCTAGGATAATTTGAAAATTGAACTAGTGAATAGCTATCAGTGATATGCTCAGTTGTGATTGTAGTTTGCTATACAAAAGGGACTAATGAATATTGTGGTTTTTAAAATTCTGAAAAATGTATTGTTCAAATGGAGAAAATGTATTGCTTGCTCCAACAATAAATATTGGTTGCATATGGTAGAGAGAAGTCATCAGATTTAAAACAGAGTTGGCTTGACTGTAGAGATAGCAATGATATTCCTAATGGCCATCAGTGTGAAAAATCTGAAGAGGCAGTGCTTATTGTGTGTAGTTTACAAATATTATCCTCTTTCTTTAGAGGTTAAAACTTTTTTAAGTTTGCTGAGTTTAGATATTTGACCTAACTCAAGGGACTCATGCCACAGGCCAGATTTTCCATCTGTTTAGAGTGCCCCCTACAAAAAATATTGTTTAAAGCAAAACATTTAATATCACATGTGAGTGCTTTGAAAACAGATTTGCTTCAATTTGCTTAGTTATGTAGACTTTTATTCCATTGGCTTTCATATTGATATGAATAGAGGCTTGGGAGAATGATTTTAATTGGGACCAGAGTAGATAAGAAAGGTTAAGCTTCTCCTTCCTACTGTCCTAGTTGACTCTGTATACATTTTAATGTTAACTACCAATCCAGTTTGTACCAATCTGATTTTAGAGGATATTATTAAATTTGCAACTGAATAAACAGAAATTATAATTTCACAAATTTTAAAATGCTACTGCTGGTGGTTCTTCTTTTCTTCTTTATGCTAGCTTTCTGTTCTAATTCTAATATGTTCTTTTTTCGGGCTGTTCTCCACTTCTTTAATCTAAGGAGCCGGTAAAAAGATCAGGCTTATTTCTTCCTTCTGAATCTCCTATAAATCCCCACTTTGCTAAACCCAAAGAGACAACTGATAATCTGCCATCTCCATCAAAGAAACAGGTAGGCATTCTTCAGGGGAAAAAACTCCTTTGATTGCTATGATTGTGTGATGCTAGCAATAAGCTCATTAATACATTCCAAAACCATAGAAAGTCATTTTAACACAATGTGAAATATACCAAATGAATGATATAGTACGCAGCAATGATTAACTCCCATCAAAATTCCACACCATTATTCCCTATCCTGGGTGAATATCAGAAAAAGCAAAATAATTTCAAGGCTCGTTTTAGTATAGAATTGGACAATGGAAATCTAATTTATAATAATCAGATGTGTGCTGTTTGTGATTATTGAGTAAAAGGAACTTTTGTTCCAAATAAATTATTTGGCTTGTGTTTATGTGATTAAGTGCCCGTTTGCATGGATACATTCTGATTATTTTAGCCAATTTCAATGCAGATACCTTTTGTTGGAAGAGAGGCCACTGGTTTCCTCTGCAGCGTTTCCCAGTCTCAGGCCATAGCTAAGATGGACTGCACTGTCAGGAAACCCTTGCAGCCTTTGTCTGATGAGCTACCGTTGGCCAAGCCCTTGAGATGCATAGAACCAAGTGAGCTGAAGTCTAGAGTCTCTGAAACGCTTGCCTCTTCCTGTCCTGCTGCCCTTGCACTCTCTGGTGTGCTTCAGCGCCTTCAGGATGTGGAGGAAAAAATTAATCAGGTGATGTTCTGTCCTCTATTTCCTCTTCTTTTTCCTTTCTGGTTTCTTCCTGTGCTACTAAAACACATTCAGTCATATAGGACAGTTCTGAACCATGGAATCCCAGTTGTTCTAACCACGAAGCATATTTTTTGTTCCTTTCACAGGATCCCTCATAATTTTATAATTTTTTTTGTACATTGCACTGACATTGCACACACCTTAGATTGATTAATGAAACTTGGGAGAAACTTGACTAGAAAGTTCCCTTCCTTCTGTCTGGGGCGGGGAACAGTTGTAAGCTGTTAAGCTAAATTGCTTATCAAAGTCTCCATTACTTCTTAAGTCCTGCATGGATATTTGTTAATGTTATTTATCAAACAAAGATTTGGCTCCCTTTTTTTAACCAACAGCCTTCAAGACATCTCAAAGCCAGGCTATAGAAACTGGGGATGCAGTCATGATATCTAAAAGGTTGTTGTGCATACATGGTTCATGGAATGTAATCCCTGGGAAAAAGCTTTTTTTTAAATCACATTACAGATTTTAAAAGGAAGAGCAGCAAAGCTTATCAACTGGTGAGATGCACCAGAAAGAAATGCACATTGGGGTGACATCAGACACAAAGCTTCCCATAAAGAATCTTTTTAAATGTCCCAGATAACTTCATGTATACACAACAGTGCTTTGGATTTCCGTGCCCTCTTTGTTACTTAATCTTCTTTTCTCCAAACTGCTACCTTTTGTTCTATTGTTTCTACTTTTTCTTCCTAACTCAGAGTTTTCTTCTCTCCTTCCTGTTCTTGCCACAGAAAAAAGCTCAGTCCATAGCCAATAGAGAATTTCATAAAAAGAGCATTAAAGAGAAAGCAGCTCATCTGGCCTCCTTGTTTGGTTGTGTTGACATCCCCAAGGTGAATAAATATGCAGAGAATGCAAAGTTGGTGAGGAACTGTGTTGGTGGTTAAGAGGGCTAGCTCATGGCTAATAACTCTTTGCTTCGTTTCATTAAATGTGGTTTTTTTTAAAAAAAAGAAATAAGTGGAAATTTGTTCATGGTCTGCCACAAAGTGATAAGGGCCAATGTCAACATGTCGATTTTTTCCAATATGTTTGTCTTAATTTATGGCTGTAATAATTTTTTCTTCTGGCTGTAACAGAATGTTCTTTGGTAATTTAATGCATGTTGGCAAGTTCCATAATTTTAACATACATTTGCAGGTAAATAATTTGGGACCATTTTTCCTCTTTCTGCTTTACACAGAATCCACTTCCTACTAAAGGTCTCTCCCATTCTCAGCTCCCATCTCCCTCTTGTCTGCCATCTCATGATTCAGCTGCTTCCTCTTCATCTATAAACTCTGCTTCCTCTGCTATTCTTTCTGAAAAGGTATTCTTTAACAGGTTTCCTCTCAGCTTCATATTGTCACTAAAAAAAACAACAGGCTGTGTAACATTGGCTTTCACTAACATTGCAGAGAACAGATTTGTGTGTGTGTGTGTGTGCTATATTTCATTTGAAAAAAGGCTAAAGTAGTGGATATTAAAGTCTTTTCAAACAGCACCAGAACTTAAATTTGGCTTATCCTGTTGAATAAACTATTTTAAAATGTTGGACTGAGAAAAATTGGAAATTATATAACTTTTCCCTCTGTAAACAGTGGGAGAAGGATGATTGTATATTTGCTGTTTGTGCTTATTATCAGGTGAGCTTCAAGGCCACATGGGTTTCCAGTTCCTTATTTGCAGTCCCCAGAATTTTCTCTGATAGCAGTGGTCAGAAAGTAGCATGATGATTATGATTTTGAAGTAGCATGAACACAAAAATACTGTGGGAACATATTTTTTTATATAACAAAAATCCCCGGGAGGGGGAAAATAATGTCCCAGTCTTAATCATTTCACAGTCCTGTTTTCCTATCTTCATCTAGACAGAATAAAATTACCAAAGCTATAGTATAGTTTGCTTGTTTGGGTTTTAACATGATTCAGGAACATAGTGCCTTGAAAACATGGTTTAATTAATGCATGTGAGCATATGCATCCCACAGTTCACTTTCAGGAATGCAAAATATAGAAAAGGAATAAGAAATAAGTAATCCAAGAAAGGGAAATACAGATAAATCTAGTTTACATTGATACCATTTCCAATCTTTGCAAATCAACCTAGTTTCCATAATGTCCAAATCCTGTTTTATATACTAATCTTCTCACAGTGCTTGTTTTGATGAAAAAATATTCAACCATTGCTTTCCTAATCTTCCTTTTACTTTCATCTATTCACTTTTCCTTATGGATCTTCATTAATTCTCATTATTATATGGATCTTCATTAATTCTCTCTGTATAACTAAATTACCTCTAACATTTCTATTGTACTGCTCACTCAAATCTGCATTCAGACCACATTCATTGAGAGCCCATTTATTTTTGATCCTATCTCTTTTGGACCATACAGTTTCTTAAGTAACCCATTCATAATAGTTTCATGTTTTTTCCTGACTTATTCAACCCTCACTTCATGTAACAAAGCAGGCAGAAACATTCTTATATCAACCATTCACTGATGATGGAGATGATGACTGAATAGAATAGAATAGAGCTGGAAGGGACCTTGGAGGTCTTCCAGTCCAACCCCCTGCTCAAGCAGGAGAACCTGTACTGTCTCAGACAGGTGAATGTCTAGTCTCTTCTTAAAAATCCCCAGTGATGGAGCACCCACGATTTTTGGGGGTAAGCTGTTCCACTGGTTGATTGTCCTCACTGTCAGGAATTACATTTTAAATATTTGATAATTACCTGTCTAAATATTTAAAAAACTGAGTAATATTAATTTGAATAATATTCAAATTAATAAACAGCAAGTTATTTAAAATTATATAGACAAAAATAATTGTCTTTTTGCAAGATAATCCCATTTTTGGCAAGCTTATATTCTTCTTAATAAAGAATATATCTATATTGCTTTACCAGCTAACATTATGATTGATGTCTGGTAAATTAAAGCATTGATATGAAGTGTCAGTAGACATAATTTGCTTCAAAGGATACAAAACTGGTGTTGTTAACTTACCCTTTATTTATAATTCATGCATTTTTGAAAACATGCTTAAGCATATTCATCCGGAATGCTTCCCTTTACAAGATACTTTTTGCATTTTTATTTGGTATAATAATTGTAAACATTTGAATTATGTCAACAAGGCAAATTATTAAAAGTCTTTATTCCCTTTTTGAGAAGTCAAAAGGAATATGTGTTGATAACTGTAATATTATTACTAACATTATTTTAATATTTTACCTTCATTATTTCAGAAGCAAACTTGTCATTTAACCAGTTGCCCAGAGTTGAATGCAGCTCTCACTTAATTCTCTAGCCTTTTGTGTTAAGAAGAGTGTGCTTGAATATATGCAAACACACAACTCATCTATTAAAGATATTCATACAATCTTAGATTTTTTTAAATAAGGGATAAATGCTCAGGTTTTATGTGGGATTGGCATTCTGTAATTAAGTTCTGTTCTTTTTTTTTCTTTAGGCTTGTTCATCTTTGCTTCACTGTGTTTCTTTGCTTTGCTTTTCCTTAAATTGTAATTTCGAAGGCAAGATTTCTTCATTTTCCATCTTTTCTCTTTCTTTTCCCCTTTGTGCCTTGTTAAATACTAGATGACAATAGGGAAGGTGTCTCATGGAATAGATGCCGTAGCACAAATCCTTGTTAATCTATACAAGAATGATCACAAGCCATTACCTGCATCTTTGCAATTGGTAAGCCTTAACCCACACATAATTGAGTGCAAGTGGTTTTAATGAAGAGTGATTATGTTAATACCTTATCTATTACATGTACCCATTTTTCAGACACTACCACATTGAAATGCAGAATGTAGAGATAATGCATACTATCACTGATGAGCCTTTATTTATAGATGCTTTTAAAATATTTTTATACAGTTAATATTCTGTATGATATTCCAATGCAGGGCTTTTGAGCCATATTTATTTGGATCTATAAAAATAAAATAAAATAAAAGCTGCTATTCAAAATGTAGTGGAGGCAACCCTGCATACTGTATATTTAGAAGATTTTATTAAATAATTCACCTCACTAATTTAGTCTAGTGATTAAGGCAACAGGCTAGAAACCAGGAGACCGTGAATTCTCGTCTCACCTTAGACAGGAAAGCCAGCTGGGTGACTAAGCCAGTCACTCTCTGTCTCGACCCAACCCATCTTAAAAGGTGGTTGTTAGATAGATAGAAATATGTATGTTCAACACCTTGAGTTATTTATAAAAATAATAAAGGAGTGATAAAAAAGATAAATAAACATTGGAGTTAATTCAAAAATATTGTTGAACATAAGACATTGTCTTGCAATTAACTCTTTCTCAGATTTGTTGTATTGACTTCCAAAGGATATATACCCTTGCTATGGATATTCAGTTGCATCAATATTATTTACATGAAGCTATATAGGTATTCTGTTGAGCCTGTTAGAAACAAAGCCTTGTGGCACATTTACTGAGCTAATTTGAGGAGGTGCCACATTTGAAATTTTGTATCGTCCTTTTCTCCCCATTCTATCATTTTGGAAAGAAGTGAAAAATACAGACCTTTTTTTAGATAACAGTTATTGTAGATGATACTCAGCAAACAAATGTAAAGAGCTTCAAATATTTGGGATGCATCATCTCAAGCGATGGGTCTTTGGAAAGACTCCAAGATCAGCAAGGCCATTCAGGCTCTGGCTGAATGCATATCAGAATCATCAAATAACACAATGTCTGTATCTCCACAAAGCTGAAAGTCTACAGAAGCTATCATTATTCCTTCTTTCATATATGGATGTGAATCTTGGTATTGACAACACATTAATCAACTGGAGAAATTTCATATTTGTGCCCTCTGCTCCAGCCTTGGTATTTGTTGGCAAGTCCATGTCTCAAACCTGGAGCTTTTGGATCATGTGGATCCATGAGCATTGGCTCACTAATTATCAGAGTAGTAGGTGGACAAATCATCAAAATGAATGACCACTGAATGCCTTGTCATTTGTGCTGGAGCGAACTAGAGACTGAACAGAGACGTCGAGGTCATTCATTCCAGCACTACAAAGATGCTGTGAAGGCAACCTTACGTTGCTGTGTCCTTCAAGAGAATTATAAAATGCAACTGATGACAGAAACTGCACCAAAAATGAATATTTAAAAACCTTTTACCATACTAACTTAATAAAGCCATCTAACATCATGAACAAGCATCATAAACATTAAACCAGGAAGTGGTTACCGGCGCCTCGGCATAGTCAGCTGATTCCATCGCTGACTATAGGGGGCGAAACTCTGGCTCCCTCGGATCGGGTACGCAACTTAGGTGTCCTCCTGGATCCACGGCTGACACTGGATGACCAGTTGGCCGTGACCAGGGGGGCGTTTTATCAGGTTCGCCTGATTCACCAGTTGCGACCTTTTCTGGACCGGGACGCCCTACGCACAGTCACTCATGCCCTTGTCACCTCCCACCTGGACTACTGCAATGCTCTCTACATGGGGCTCCCCTTGAGGAGCACCCGGAGGCTCCAGCTAGTCCAAAATGCGGCCGCGCGGGTGGTGTTGGGAGGGACTCGTCGCTCCCATGTAACACCGCTGCTGCGCGAGCTGCATTGGCTGCCGGTGGCCTTCCGGGTGCGCTTCAAGGTGCTGACTATCATCTTTAAAGCGCTCCATGGCATCGGACCCGGATATCTTCGAGACCGCCTCCTGCCGCAGATTACCCCCCATCGACCTGTACGCTCCCACAGAGTGGGCCTCCTCAGGGTGCCGTCAGCCAGACAGTGCCGGCTGGCGACCCCAAGGGGGAGGGCCTTCTCTGTGGGAGCTCCCACCCTCTGGAACGAACTGCCCCCAGAGATCAGGGTGATCCCTGATCTCCCTTCCTTCCGCCGCGCCCTTAAGACATGGTTATTCCAGCTTGTGGGACTGGCCTAGGGGAAACTTTTAGAGGGGTTTTTAATTATATTTTAATTTGACCAAATTCAAATATTTCCCTTTTAACTAATTTTTAGACTTGTAGTGTTATTTTTGTATTTTTATCTGATTGTTAGCCGCCCTGAGTCCGCAAGGAGAAGGGCGGGATATAAATTTAAATAAATAAATAAATAAATAAAATAAATAAGTAGCTGAAAATACATAAAAGATGGCATCAGCAATTAGAATTTGCTAGCAAATTACTGTGGAGAGGAAGTGGGAACATAAAAGTATGTTTTAAGATTTCTCTTGACAGCATATCAAAGAGACTGATTAGCCTGCTGGTAGGAGTTAATTCCAGAGTTTTTGGCTCTTCTGCTACCAAGGTTTTATCTCTAGCTTTAGGTAGCTTCACATGGGCATTCACAGCACATACCACGGAAAGCCTGCTCCACCATTTAGCCATAAGACCTACTGAATTACTATTCCTTCTATATGGTAGCAGTCTAAACACAGCCCAATAAATACATGGTTTGCTATGACACTATGGTTAGTTCTCGATTTACAACTACAATTGAAAATTTCTGTTGTTAAATGAGTTTTGCCCCATTTCTTGCCACAGATATTAAGTGAATCACTGCCATTGTTAAGTTAGTAAGAGGGTTGTTAAGTGCATCTGGCTTTGCTTGTCAGAAGATTGCAAAAAGTGATCACATGACCCCAGAACACTGAAACCATCATAAATATAAACAGTTGCCAGGTGTCCAAATTTTGATCACGTGATCATGGGGATGTTGCAATAGTCATAAGTGTGAAAAATGATCATAAGTCACTTTTTTTAGTACCCTTGTAATTTTGAATGGTCACTAAACAAATGGTTGTAAGTTGAGGGCTACCTGTATACTATTTAAATATACAGTATTTTGCCAGGGTGCAGAATGTGGCTAACAGGCAAGAAAATGCAAAATGGCATAAAACAGTTCTGACTTTAAAAAACAAATGTAAGTAACAATATCCTGTTGTTGATTAAACTCTTAGTTTTCCTTCTTAAAGAACTTTTTGTGGTGAAATTTATCAAACAGTTATACAAACGTTATTCAGATATTACTAATATATTTTAATTTTTTCAACAGGGATCTTTGAAAAGAGAATTTCCTCAGACAATAGGTGGGAGTGATATCTGCTATTTTTGTAAGAGAAGAGTTTATATCATGGAACGATTGAGCGCGGAAGGCCACTTCTTCCACCGAGAATGCTTCAGATGTGTCATATGTGCGACCACTCTCCGCCTAGCAACATATACCTTTGATGCAGAAGAAGGTAATGCAGATCTAAAATAAACTATTTAAAAATATTTATCAATAAAGGAGAATATTTGTAGCTCAGGGTTGAAATGAAGGGTCCTTGATGCTCTCTGAGGTTGGTTGTTTTCTTGCAGACATTTCAATACTTAAACTATGTAACATCATCAGTGCTCGTCGCATTGATAGTAGGACTAGAAGTACTATATAGTTGGATAGTAGGATTAGCACTGATGGTGCTATCTGGCTTAGGTAATGAAACATCTTCAAGAAAACAACCAACCTCAGAGAGCATCAAGGATCCCTCAGAAATATTTAGGTATTGATGCAAGTACAATGTACACTACACATATTTTGATTGTATGTGTCTACTGTTCATAGATAAGATTAAACTAAATGGTAAGGGGTGGGCTATATGAAACCAAGCAAGGATAGCATCTTCATTATCAACAGCAAAAATACCACATGTGGGATTTTAGCCTCTTTGCCAAGGCTTCAGTATCCTAAGGTAAGACCATTCAAGTTGGTAGAATAAGGAAATAAACTTTCCTCATGTAAAGGACTTTTATTTAATGAAAGCACTTCTTTCCAAAAGGTTTTAAATAAAGTCACTTAAAGTAACTTAAATTTGAAGTTTTACCTTCTTTACATTCCCCCATTCCATCTGTCAGGTCTACTAATTGGCAGATTGCATAGGGGAAGAGACAAAACCTAAAGGCATTCCTTTTATTTTTCAGGTCATTTTTACTGCAAACTTCATTTTGCACAATGTAAAACAAAGAATACGCAGAGAAAGAAGAGAGCGGAAATAAAGGTATATATATATATATATATATATATATATTTCTACCGGAGTATGACAGAGTAGCAAGATTATAAGGAGACAAATTCCAGCTCATTGGAAGTGATACATAAAAAGGAAACCATCCTCATCAAGTTACTCTAGCAGAGATTCCTTTGCACGTGAACTGCAGAGGAGTGATCACTGGATATCCAAAATGTTGTCTCTCTTAGCAAAATTGAACTGATACATTCAGAGACATTTTCGTTCAGTCTCTGGGCTATTCTAGCTTTAAAACATTTACTGTATATCAAAATATGTCTTTGTGCCACATGCAGAAGAAGAGGAGCTGAAATATGTAAGAATTGCAAATGATTGTTCTTTGGACTTCAAAACACCAATGAGATTTTTGATGGTTCCATTATTTTAACAAGTCCACTACATTATTTTCCAACCTAGTCATATCAAATACATTCTAATGTCTTTTCAATTTTGACTGGAAGACATGATGATAAGCAAGGAAATAACCTTAATTGCATGTTTTCCTTCCCTGGGCTGCCATTTTTTCTAGTTATCAAGATGAGAAAGTATTAAATATCCTTTGCATTCTCATTCTCTCTTTCTTGCAGCCTTTCCAAGGCTTTTTTTTTTAGTTTTTTGAAAGGACATACTAGGGAAAAGAAATAAGACATGACCTTTATGTCTACCTTGATTCTGAAAATTGATATCTGTTTATAACTTAAAGTCAATGGAAAAGATTCCCTTATTTATTTTGGAGTTAGTTGGCCATCAGGGTGACACTCTCTAAGTTGAAGCACTGATACAAAGTAAATTGTATTTTGGAGATTACCCAAAACTCATTGCAAAGAAATATTTTGCAATCTAGAGAGTCTCTGAATTGTGGCAGGGTACAAATGTAGACAATAAATAATGTTTAATATTTGAAATATTGAAGTTGAGCATCCTGTTAACCTATTTCTGTTTAAAGGAGGAAGCAGGATTTCAAAGGCATCAAGAACCCATGTGTCAAGAAACTAGCTCAGAAAGTGCTTTTGCTACTAGTAGCAGCTCAGAAGACCAGTCGTCAGGTATCCTGTCTTCATTCTTTGGGAAAACTCTATGCTGGCCTCTTAAGGTGACCAGGGATCTGCTTGATCTTCCAAGACGCCTCTCTAACTGGATGCATGGTTTCCTGCACGCAACCAGACTTCATTTCAGGGACAATGCATACAACTATATCTACTTGTATGAACTCCTAAGCTTTAGCATGCCATTCCTTTTTGTGCTTCAGGAGTTACTTGGCCATTTTTACGGGGAAGTGGAGTTGTCATATGAGGATACGCTTGAATTGGTGAAGAATTTTTTCAAGCTTTAAAATTCTTCTGAATCTTGGTTGTGCCTTTCAGATTTCCAAAACAAACAGTTTTTGGGTTTTGCACAAATATAAATATTTCAATTCAGTAGATGCTTTAAATGAGCCCAGCGCTCCATGGTGCAATTGTAAAATCATTCATTTTTTTTAATTGGATCATGAATATAAGTGTCCGAATTCATTTCCCAACCATGGAGACGCTATGAAGGATAATTTTATAGATTAAAAAAAAATGTATGGATCTATTTCTAGTTAAAAAACAGATATTTCTTTATGTTTACATTTTTATATTCTTATTTTAATGACTGTGAAAGGAGGAACTTTCATACATAGGGCAATAGTAATTTTTACTATGTGGTTGTTTTTTTGAAAACTGAAGGTGGCACATACTTTTTCTACCTTTTGCTTTATCTATGGGGCTACTGTCTGCATCAATTTTTTTTAAAAATTCAAAGGTATACTTAGCCCATAATAATTGTATTGACGTCTCTTTGATAAATCTTTTGTGAATATTGGGCATTTTCTATAATATTTATGAATGGATTCAAAGAGTAAATATTAGACATGAATTAATTAAAGTAAACCAAAGTACAGCAATAGCCTATATTTATTTTTTCTCAAATCAAGGGGCAATTTTGTTAATTTATATTAGAGACGACCTAGAGCTGATATGGAAGGTAAGATGTATCTATGTTAGAATACTTTTTCCCAATCAATCTTTTGAAAGTTGAAAGGATCAGAATAATATAAAAATGGAATAATTTGAGAGAAAGAGGGACTGACTTCATAGATCTTTTTGACACCATAGAGTCTCATAGAAATTAGGATATGGTTGAGAATTATAATATATTAACTTGATATAAAAGCCACATTTGACTGAAAGAGAAAAAGTATAAATTTATTTTGCCGTATAGAAATTTTACACAGGAGATATCTGTGGATAAATTTAAGATAATTAATAGGGTCCTTTTAGTTGGCTGTCTTTTTGGCCTACTTTATCATTGAAAAACACATGCTTGTTCTTGGGAAATAGCTGTAAAAACAAAGTCCCACTATTAGGCTTGCACATTCTGTAAAAGGTTCAAATGATCATAGCTGTTGACTCCTGAAACTAAAACCAATTTGACTTTTGGCTGAGAGAAAAATAGCTCTCCTGGAATATATGGCTGGTTCTCTCTATACCCTTCCTGTGGCTATTCAATTACATAAATATTATTTGCATAATAGAATGTTAATTTGTCATTAAACAGGATAAAAACATTAAACTTCATAAAACCCATCACTAAAGATTTAATTTAGAGCTAGCCTGTTAAAGGATTAACTGGTACATTGGAATCATTCTTAAATATACATGCTGTTCTGTTTTAACCTTTATTCTCATGAATTCTTATTTGGAAAATTGCCCTATTTATTTCACTGGAATGGAGAGATGTAGTATTAAGCACATTACATGACAATAATCTTTAATTAAATGAACAATGATGAAAAGAGGCTTTTTTACATTATTATTATTTTTAAAAGGTTAATTTTTGCTCTGCTAAAGATTTGCTTACATGTAAGAATATTTGGTGGTCCTACCATGAGTTCTCAAATGCTGTGATATTGTGAACCCACTGAAACAGTAAAGGAATCAAACCAAATGAGTTCTTCCTTGCTTTAACAGTCAGGGCTTTTTTTGTCATAGAATGCCCAGAACGGAGTTCCGGCACCTTTTTTGGATGGAACCTTGTAGGGTAGGCAAGGCGGGTTGTATGACGTGTGTGAGTTCCGGCACCTTTTTTTTTTTTTTTTTTTACAAAAAAAGCACTGATAACAGTAATTGTGCCATCAGGTGAACAGAAAGCCGGAACCCATTGAGAACTCAATTCTGTTGCTAGCTTGTCTAGGCACCATGTTGCTTTTAGGTTCCCAGGAAGCATGCCCAGATGTGCATCATCTGACAGATGAGATGTCTTCACCATGGAGCAGGGGACTAGATCTAGGGAAGAACAGGGTGGAAAGGGAAGCTGAATTATCAGAAGCCAGAATGGACTGTGGAAACTCAGTTACTGCTATACCAATAAACAAGTCTTCTTTTAACAATGGAGAGACTTGGTTCTCCATCCCCTATCCCTTGGACCTGGGACCTGGATTCCTTTCCCCCTGATTGCCGTACATTTCTTGGTATTCTTCTAGGAGAGAGCAGCCTACCATGTAGACCAGGGTAGTCAACCTTGGCTCTTTTATGACTTGTGGACTTCAACTCCCAGAATTCCTGAGCCAGAGTCATAAAAGAGCCAAGGTTGACTACCCCTGAATTGTAGACTTCTGGTCACATCTCTTCTGCAGTGATGAGACCAGCAGAGGTAGGGAAGCTGTAAAGCGTGTTTCCTACTCTCACGTGACTAGTCTTTTGAGACTACTCTGGCCACTCATCTTGCCATCCAATTGTACTGCCTATGGTTGGGCCACTGACTTGCCCAGGCAGAGTAAGACAGTATTTGACAACTGTTCAGGTTGGTCTGGGATTACAAATTTGACAAACCAGCAACAAACCAACCCTGAATTTCCTTTCCCCCTGATTGCCATGCTTTTCTTGGTATTCTTCTAGAAGAGACCATATAGACTTGTAAAGGCAGGAGGGAAGCAGCAGCCTACGGAGGCACCCCATGGTTCCAGGGTGCTCTCCTGCAAGACCAGCTTCTGGGACTTTCCTGCTCTAATCTTGCCCACCATGGCTTTCAGCCTGGCTCTGGGCATGCCTGCCGGTTTCCTTCTAGGTAGTAAAGCTGCTCACTCCTTACCCCCAGTCTGGCTATTTGAGCATGATCTTCCAGCCTTGCCTTTCTGCTTGGCCTTCCTCTGCTCCCCAGCCAGGTTTTCCCAGCTGTCTGTCTATTATTTCTGAACTAAACTTTTCTGTAGTTATTTCAAGGACTCCCTAGCACAGGGGTAGGCAACCTTGGCTCTTTTATGACTCGTGGACTTCAACTCCCAGAATTCCTGAGCCAGCCATGCTGGCTGGTTAAGGAATTCTGGGAGTTGAAGTCCACGAGTCATAAAAGAGCCAAGGTTGCCTACCCCTGTCCTAGCACATAGTTTCTGCTCATGCAACAGTCTCCGGTGTTCTTTCCCCCCTTACGCCTTTTTCAGAGTTTCCAATTCTCACTTAAGGTGTAAGGGATGGGAAATTTGATCTAGCAGCATCTTGTGCTGGCTGATGGATACAACTCTGCAGTCCATATCATAAGCTGAACCTGAAAAATGACGGCGCTCTGCTTGTGACCAACTTACTATATCTATATCTGCCGCCATTCTTGCAATTCAGCTATTGCGTATCTCAAACTCAGGGAATGAAGCGTCAAGAGTGGCCAATGTACATCCAAAATCTAAGAATGATTTTAGGGCAACTTCAGGGTGAAGAAATAACACAACACAAATTATGTTTTGCACTGCTTGCTTCACTGTATCTTACATTTTTAAAAATGTAAGGTACATTTAAACCTTATTAAATTATGTTCATATTTTATTTGCCTATAATTTGATTTTTTTTAGTTGCACAATCATTAGTTAATAATGATGTCAGCTTATTTGTGTATAAAAATTTTACCACAAATGAAACTCTTCAAGCACTTCCACTATTATCTAATAGTTTGAATGCAATGCACAGAAAAGGAAATGGTCCATTTACACTGTTTGAAGCCACTGATAATCATTACACAGTACAATTTTGTCTATCCAGTTGTTTATCTCGCTCTAAGGGGGACTATTTCTGAACCATTTTCCAAAGTGTGTTGGATCACTGTAAAAAGGCCAGAATTTTCTTTCGAATTATGTCCAGTCACATGCACACAAATAACCATGTTCTATTTGGTTACAGTATTTTGTTACTTATCATTTGCACATTCAATGAAGGTTTCTTTGGAAAGCTTTAGAGGGGGCTTTGGGGTTAAAAAAAGGAGATGTGACCAACATATTGTACATGTAAGTCCAAATTCAGTCTCAAATAAATGCAGAATCATTTATTTTGGCTTAGTCATATTTGAAGTTGACTGTTTGAAGTCAGTTGCTGTTTCAAAGACTCTTTGATAACTACTATTATTTGATACTTGAAATTTAATAAATGTAGTTATTTAATATTTTTGGTTGATGAGAAAGAAGAATTATTGTTCATTTGTTCTACCTTACAGTATCAGTGCAATGTATCTAGTGCTATGTAATCAAAGATTTGCAGTTAGCTTGTTCTGACTACTTTCTTTTTCCAATATTTTACGTTGTCTTTAGTTCATTTCAACATTCCAGTGCTACAGCCCCTCACTGGCTGAACCATTTCTGGTGTAAGATTATTATTCTCTATGCTTCTTTTTCTCCGTGTTGTGATGAATCCCTAATACTCCCTTACTAGTGTTTAAACATACTAGAGGAGTGTGTGTGTGTGTTCTAAATACACAATAAGAATCTGCATGATCACTTACCCTGCTTTGTAACTGACAGTTCAAGTGCTTCTTTCCAAGTGCTCCCTGTCTGCATTGTAGCTATTATCTTTCTGCATGCATTCCAAACTTTTGAAAAAGAAATTATTTAAATTAAACCCATTTCTATGGGTTTTTTTATTTCTTCTCTCCTTAAACTTTAGCTCTTGGTCTAATAAATATTAGGAAAAAATGATTAGGGGAATGGCCTTTTAGTTTTACAAATCACTTTAACAATAACTATATAGAAATGAATGATTCCCTGATAGTTTCTAACATTCATTCAGTACAATACAAAGATTTAAGTAAAGTCTGGAAACTGAAAGATGCAGCTTTCATTCCTTAAGGAATTTTCATGCATTTATCTCAAATGCAGATTCATATTGCTGTGATATCAGCATAATACACATATTTTACAAGCTTCTGCTTACAAATGTAAAGGCCTAGAGCAGGGGTTCCCAACCCCTGGTCCGTGGACCACTACTAGGCCGCAGCATGCCAGCAACCGATCTGCACAAACAAGCAAAGCCCCATCCGCAGGATGCAAGCAGCACACAAAACCACGACCCCTCCGGTCTGCGGAAAAACCTCTCCACGGAACTGGTCCCTGGTGCCCAAAAGGTTGGGGACTTCTGGCCTAGAGGACAAAACATACAGAACAGCCCTCCTCCCATGTATCCCTCTCCCAATTCTGTTTCATCATCATCTTTTCCCTAAGAATTGAGAAAGCTATTATGAAACATATCTTAAGCACTTAAGTGCTTAAAGTGATATATTACTTTACTTTTTCCAAAATGGTCTCTCAGAACTCTGAAATAGAAAGACATTCTGTGAGGAATCATTACCATTCCTATCCTGAGGAGAAACTATTCGCAAGAGAAAGATGCATGTTTTCCCTCTAGGAGACAAAGCTATTTTCATAAGAAAAGAAGAATTCTATCCTTCTTTGCTAGTGGGTTTTCTTGTTTATAGCTGGCTTTTTTCTGTCCTTCTGCCAGCCTTATTAAGTCTGAAAGGATAGAACAGAGCTGGAAAACACACCAGGTTTATTTATTGGTAGAGTTGAAAGCAGAAATAAGAATTTCTCTGCTTGTTCAGGAGGAGAATAATTCTAAATATTCTGGAATTGGAAGGAATCAGTCTGATTTTGTAATTCACAAAAGTAATGGATAATACAAAGAAGCTAGGGAAAAAAGCACAGCAGATGACTTAGTTGATACTTTCTGAATAGAGATCCCAAACTCAATCATATACTATTAAAATTCTTACTCGTCCAACTATGTTTCATGTTCCTATTTCCAAAGTAATAAACTGATTTTAATCTCTTAAGTATGCTAAACAAAATCCATTTTTCTTGGCTTTAGAAATTTTAGAAATTTATACCACTCTTCCTACTTACTTTGATGCTGAAGAACAATATTCAACTTGGATTTTGTTTAAAATGTACAATTTTGCTGGTTTTTAACGGTCAATATCTTCTTAATGTTTTGTAACAAATCACCCAAAGCTTAGCACATACAGAACCCATAAACTCCCAAAGGAAAGATTAGGAAAGGGTGCAGGTGTCCTAACAGAATGGTACCTTTTTTACTTGATTAACAAAACTTCTCTGCATGTTTGGGGTACGAGGGACATCTGAATGAAAATTTTCTCTCTACTTTACTTATTTCTATTGCAGATCTACTCATCTCTTAAACAGTACCAGTGGGGATTCTCTTCCTCTACTCCTTGTCACTTAAAGTGTTTCTGGAACTTAATTAAGCATTTTTGTTAGAGTGTTCTTTTTTTTAAAAAAAATGTATATAAAAATTTCACATGGAAATTTGTATTTTGCACAGATTTAATGTTTAACTTTCTAAATTGGCTGTTAAGAAATAAATTCAGTTCTCCTAAATACTGTTGCATCTTTTCTTCCTTTTTAACAAACTGTATTGAATACACAACAGTTTCACCAGTGGTGGGATTCAAATATGTGAACAACTGGTTCTCTGTGTGGATGCCGCTTCCGGAAGTCCATTCTGGACCTGGGCAACAAAAAATTAGCCACTGATTCTGCTGAAGTTGTGCAAACTGGCTGAATCCCACCACTGAGTTTCACCTTTGCTGCTTTTCTGGTTTTGGTACAATGCTTCTTAAGCACTCTGTGTGGGCTTTCCTATGTTCCTGAAAGACATTTTAAATGTTGCCAA